TTGAGACATCAAACATGTCTTGCGAGGGACATGTTAACCACATTCAGGGAGCTGGATGAAATACCCTCCGGTACTCAAACATGCGCTGGGAAATCTTCAATGGAGTTGTTTCTGGGAAAATCCATGGGATATTGCCCATTGCCACGTTGGATTGCCGGTGATGGAATTTCCACGCAGCCTCCATGATTCTTGTTCCTCTACAAGCTTCCCAAAGCACATAAGGAAGCCCAATGGTGACCACACTGTGGTAATCGGGATCTCATCACGCATCACCATATGGAGGCCCCAACAAATGCCAAAAAAAATGCTACCGCAACCCTTGCATCGCTGAAGTTCGGAGCTGCTTCCTCACTTCATGGTGGCAGAGGTTATATGTTAATATCAAGCTAATATCAAGCCCAAATCATGCCAATACTTATCTGGTTGGTGGTTTGAACCATCTTGAAAAATATGAGTTCGTCAATGGGGTTGGGATGACATCCCATATATGAAATGGAAAATAAAAGTCATGTTCCAGTCAGCACCAAACAGTTATTGGGGTACCCTCCGAGTGATACAATAGCGATGCCGAGAGCCAAGGGGCTGGATACAAATAGCTCTCCAGCTCCAGGCGACGTAGCAAACTCGGCAAACACGTCTCCTAAAGGGACGGCCCGGAGGCGACACGTCACAGACACGTCAGGGCTGTGACCGTCAAGTGTTAATTAAAAACACATGGAATTTGGATGTTCAACGTTTCTGAAGAAGTGCTAGTTAGGTTCTTCAACCAAAAAATTCACTGAAGAAACGCTGAACATCATGTACCACTAAACATGCTCCAAGCTCCACATGCTGACAGAGAACAACAAGTAGCTTTCATACTCAATTGATCTAGCACTTAGGACATCTTAGGACCGCTAGCCTGCTTTGGCACTTCATTGGTGGCACAGAAAATCACTCATCCCGTCTCCCCAAATATTAAATACCCCATAGATCCAGTACTGAAGCAATGTTTATAATGTTTATATGGGGCGGCATCTCATTTCCAAGGGATGAATATAACCCAACAGGATTGCAAACATGCAGTGCTTCCTTGAATAGAAAAGGTCTAATAATATATGTTCCCACCCAAATTGCTGAGGCCGGTCCAACCCCCAAGAAATATGTGTCTTCAGAAAAGTGCGGGGTGGCGAGGATAGATGGGAAGCTCCACCTTCAAGCCGAGCGTCGGAGGGGGAAAAGACCTCAGCTTGACCCTCAGACTATAGATCTAGCCTGGGGGAATATATATATATATATAATTATATATATCATTATATATATATAGTGTATTGTGTATATACAAACAGAGGAATAACAAGCCATTCAACTGTCTATTCAAGCTTGGGAATCATCCCATGTAAGGATGGACATGGGGCCTGCCCCCAACATGATCTGTTTGATCATTCCAGCTAGGGGTCCTACAGTAATCATGTTTGTACATTGGTCGCACGTCGAATCTAGCCAACAATCAGGAACATTGATTTTGCCGCTTTCAGAAGATCCGCAGACGGTACCCTCTGGTAATTTAACGTAGCTATTGAAAATGGCCCATTTATAGTTGATTTTCCCATTAAAAATGGTGATGTTCCATAGTTATGTTAGTTTACCACAGTGTAACAAACACTTTGGCAGGTACCTAGGAGTAGACGCGTCAGCCAAGCCGCTGGGGCGTCTTTCTTCGTCTTGGCCGTGGCAAGTTTCACACCCATCAGCAGCCTGCGAGACATCAGGATCTTTCTGACGGTGGCTTCAGCTTCCTCCATCAGGAAGTTGGGGGTGATCTCATTCTTCTGGAAGTCCTGAGCTTTGTGAAAAAGCGGTGTGAGCTGAAAAAAAGGTCCGACCGCCAAGGGGCCTGGCGAATTCCTGGTGGTTTCATGGCTTATATATATATATATATATATTATTTTTACTGTAGAATATTGTAGATAATGTGAACCCCGGATTAGGTTTCACCCCCGGTCTGTTTATACTAACATAAAAATTGCACAGGTTACCGCAGCAACAAATTATATATCACTTTTGGGTGGCAATAACCCGGAATAACCCAGCTAGGGTTTATTAATCTGGCATTGACTTTACCAAAATGATTAGCATGGTTGAGACCACAAGACAGTTTTTCGTCTAAGCACCATCTTCCGCTTCACAGAGGTGGGTGTGAATACCCCAATGATAATCATGGGAATTGACAAGAAATCCAAAAACAGTAACTGTTAACAAGCCATTCAGAAAATCCGAGGAAATTCTGAACACATATTGGATGCCCCGTTTCCATCCATTTCCATCCATTTCCCGGTGGTTTACCCAAGGGAATTGATTTATTTACCCGGAGAGGCCGCCCCTCCTCCGAAAACTTGAGCAATTTCTGCACCGTGGTCTGCGCTTTACTGATGATCTCAGCCATGGCTGCATTGCCACCTTGGAGCGGGGAGGAACATGGGATTTCAAGGGAAATCTGCAGGAGATCTCGAGTTTAAAGATGTTTTACGCCTCAAATATAGGGCTTTCCGGCATTAAAGACATCACAATGGGATTCTTACTAGGACATATTAAGACATGTTAGTATCTCTGGAAATTAGGGAAGAGCAAACACACCAGAATTTCTCAATTTCATCATTGAAAGCACTGGTGTAGTGTAGGGTAGCCAACTCTTTTGGGTAGAACAACCAACTGGTCCAAACTCATCACACCGTTGGTGGCTTCACACTTAACTGGATGGGATTCATTAAATCACTGACATGGCTCCACACAGAAACAACAAACATGTTGGGGGATCGTTTTATTGGAAATCCGGTATTTCAAGAGTCACCAAAACATGCAAATGCGTGTGCCGGCAGAATCATCATCCCAGTGAAATTATTTCAACGGTGCAAAATTCACTGTTCGCAGTGCAAGCATTTCAAGATATACGTGGCCCATGGCCACGACAGCAACATGGCCAGGCACCTTTATCCCCAGCTTTGTTTCCTTTGGCCTTTTCAAGACTCTTCTGTTGCAACTTCTCCGGGTCGATTTGTTTGAGAATCTTTTGCAAGTCTTTGAGTCTCCCTTCCTCCTGACGGGGATATGGGGCTGTCCCCTGAGGATGCGCCGAGGGCAGGAAAACTGGAGATCAATTTAACATATATTCATCCACAACGGCACTTGCGGGAACTATGAGAAATCTAGCGCAACCTTTCATAGATCTTTGTAGGAATGGCTTTCAACATCCAGGAACAATATCTGTCCGATCTGTCGACGTCATGACCCGAAGGCAGCCCAGAACTTGCGCATGCGGTACACTGATCTTTTCTAAGCTGTCTGAAGCATCAAAAATCAGCATAATCAGTCACCAAAATCACCTTTGCGCATTCTCAATGACAAACGTGGTAAACATGGTGATACATGGTGATTCAGATGCCTCGAAAAATGCGGTGCGCCCAGCTCGCATCCCCCTCCAAAACGCCTCGGCATGTCGACGCCTCATTGGTACGACAAAGGCACGGTACCTGCCGAGCTCGCAATCCCTCAGGTATTCACAAATAAATCATCAATACCCAGGTGCTCCCATTTTCTTTGGGAAATATCAAGGGGGATTCATCACTGATAACCAATGTGACAAAATCACACATGCGGTGAATCAACTACATAAATGATACTTCAATTCATTTGTAAGAAAGGATTCATCAATATAAGAGTGCCAATGTGTGCTAAAATTAAGGAAACTTGGACACATTTTCTATGGCCAAAATCGCGCGCGACAAGTTTTAGAATAAAGCCCTGGAATTGTTGAAAATAACACCCCAAAACAAACATTAGCACAACACACCTAAATGGCAACTTCTTACAACAGAAGCAGAAACCACCACCACAACAACACCACCACCACCAACAGCCAAGTTCCCCCTTTGCTTACTGGTGCTAGACGATTCGGGACTTTGGGGTTTTGATCCAACCCATATGGTCCCAATATGTCCCAATCACTAGTTTCACTTCATTATCCCATTCCGTTCCATTCCCCATATTTCCCCATTCCCAACGGCCATAGCATCAGCTTGCTGGTGCTAAACGTAGGGAATTTTTGGGAATGATCCACAATAACTATGAATAATAATCCCAGCAACCCCCATTCCCATCCATTCCCATCCATTCCCTACGTTTAGCACCAGTAAGTTGGCCATTTCTGGTTCTGGCCTGATCTTGTGCTCGCTCTGAAGCTCCTCCAAGTCGCCTAAGGGGCCCCGCGACTTGGCAGCCAGGTTTGTGGCAACGACGAAAAATCCTGGTTTGAAGGGGATTGAATGGGGGTTAATTAGGGCTTTATGGACTTCAATCGACTTTAATAGTCTTAATGGTCTTAATGGAACTTTGATGGATTTTGATGGACTTCAATGAGCTTTGACGGGGTTTCATGTTGTTTAAAACAGGATTATAAGTAACCACAAAAATGATATGGGTTCAGCTGGTTAGTAAATTATATAATTCAGCAAAATCATGCAACATCTCCATCCAAGATCATCCAAGGTTGACCAAGAGTTCGGCGTTTTCCGTGAAGAATCCCCCTTGGCCAGATCGAATCTTGAATTAAAGGATCTTAAAGGCTTATGTTTGGCCCAACTTAACAGTGGAATTGGCCTTGCCAGATACCCTTGCCAGTTCTGAACCTGTTGGATGAGCCTTTAGTCCGGCAAACCCCATGCCATCAGCCATTGATCCGATTTGGGTAAACAAATCGCCCCAAATTGGTTTACCACATTTCTCCCCATACTTTGTCGGTCAAATCCCCACAATCCACCAATTTTTGGGCCTAAAATCAATATAATCAATAATTACACATATCATATTTACGTCTTACGTGATTTTTCACGTGCATCATTGGGTTCGTTGGATTTTAGCTACACTTTATGTGGGCTCACTCGTTAGCCACCATCTCAGCATATCTTAGCATGTTCATTGGCCATAACTTGGCGAACCCCCCGGTGGCCTTCTGCCAAGATGCCCAAGACGCGCAAGGCTTCCAGGTGTTCGCGCTCCTCCACTGAGACCTCGCGATGTGCCTCGTTGACCACGTCTTGCCAGGTTGACCAAATGGTGCCTTGGAGTCTCGCGTGGACCGAATGGAAACATAAAATCACCAGTTATGACATTATCACATATTATCACCACTTATCCCATTAGCCGCCATAGGATGTCATAAGTGATTATATCAGCTTTGATAGTTTTACTATATACCTTTAGTCTGATTACAACTTTCGAGTAGGATTTTATTGGAAGATTTCCAGGCTAGGAATTACGAAACGATTCCTCAACTTGTCCGGACTCTAACCAATGGGAAAATTAACAAAATCATCTTCAGAAAAACCAGGGTACGCAAAGTGGTCTTCTTCCGCTTTGCTTCCACGATCTGCGAAGAAGAAATATGGCTGTGTCGACCCGAACATGGAGAAGGCACGGGTCATCAACTGTACACTTTTAAGTATGGGCATTTTGTCTGCCAACAAAATTTACCATGCCATGGCACACAATATTAATATTGTTTCTTGGATCATACTGTATGGTTGAATTGAACATAACATGCAGATGGTTTGTCTTAGCAATTGCATGTTGGAACTTCGAAACATGTCACGTTGTTATTGCCTCAGCATCCTTTTTAATCAATGGTTCCCTACTATTTGAACTGTCTCAAAGGGACTTCGGTTCTATGTGCTACAAAGAGATGAACAACAACAACAACAACAACAACAACAACACCTACTACGACGACGACTACTACTATTACTACAACTACAAAGACACGTGTAAAGAGAAACAGGGTGGGGGGACATATATGTAGATCATGCTCAGGCGCGAAAGTCAGACACCAAAAGTCATTAGCCCCACCCCACACAGCCCTGGCATGAGCTAAAGGCCCATAGCTATCATAACATCAATTTTGGGAGACCAGTAGTTCTGGGCTGAATCAAGTGGAAGTCAACATCAAGTGACTTCGACATACCCCATTCCAATGCGTATAGGATCAGGATACATGGTCCCCGTATGTCCGCGTCAGTATCTATGCTTGAAGTCCAGTGCTGATCAAAATTAAAGCCATTCGCAGGCTCCGGGGGCCAAGAGGTTTGGTGTGCAGAGAAAGGCGCTTTGATCGTCTTTGAATGTTTTTAAGTGTTTGACCGCTTCCTGCAATTTCCATCAAACATCCAGAAATCTCTTCCCGCAAATATCAAACACCTCCCAATCGAAATCTTGTTCATCTTGGTTCAGTATTGGATCTTTGCGGGTCCCTTCGGGTGGTATTGAATATTATGGGAAAGTATCACATGCTCGAAACCCTGGATTTAAAAAAACCTGAAGTTTGATCGGGATGTTACCCCCAAAGTAGTGAAATCAATTAATTCTTACAGAAACATATCAAAAAATTGCTACCCAGCCTATTAATAAACTGGGGGTTATTTATCCTGGGTTAGTAATCTGTTCAATAAACATGGTGATCCTAGGTCCCAGATCCGTGGCCCACCGGAAGTCAAACATAGCATTGGACAATCCACCATCGACAGAAGCTTTACCCTCTGGTAAACTAACATAGCTATGGAAAAACACCATTTTTAATGGGAAAATCCACTATAAATGGTCATTTTCAATAGCTATGTTAGTTTACCAGAGGGTACTGCTTTACTTATGGTGGATTGTCACATTGAAGCAGGGATTTCCTAGCCATGTTTGAGGACACATCTGAAGCTACTGTAGCCCAGCCAGTCAGTTCTGGCGCCCTGTGCCTTCACGATCTCTTCCTCGCTCAATTTAGTTCCCTGCGGGGATCGACGATATCCGGGAACATGGTGATACCCTCCGGTAACGCGGCTTGCTGGAACATCCCCCATTTATAATAATTTATATGATGGACATATATATATATATATGTGTGTGTGTGTTTTTGAATATATATATATATATGTATATATATATATATATTACTGTATATATATATATAAATGAATTTCCCATTAAAACATCGATGATTTTCCCATTTCTGGGGCATCCCGGCATCCCACTTCTGTAAAATGATGAGAAGTTGGTTTCCATATGTTTCCATGGGCAAGAATTTGGGAGGAGAAAGCGGGGCACAACATTTGCTCCAATCAGCTGATGTCAAGTGAGTCAAATGCATTTCAAATACCCTCCACCATGGCAAGGTGGGAAATCCCCCATAAATGGAGATACGTTTGTTTCGCTTGGAAAATCATCGGGCTAAATGGATCAGATACCTTAAAAAATCCTTAAAGCCTACGTGCAACAAAAATGAGGCAATCCAGGGTAGCAATGTATTTTCCCGGGATGCCGCCCGCGGTGGATAGGCGAATCATATCTGCGCTTTTGAGTGGGACGCTACCATACCTTGGATACAATGGGTATGGTTGCCAATCACAACCACATACCAATATTGGGTACGGCATAGTATGATATAGGTGATATATTATGGTGCAGTCTCAATCTTTCGCTGACCTGCTGCCAATCCAACCTGGCCATGAACCGCTTCCCAGAACATCCCGCCCAGAAAACCATTGGAGTTGTCCCTTAAAACCCAGGCATCCACCCGTTCATCTATGGAGGACTTCTTACAATGGGGAATCCCCAAGTCACCATAGGTGTCACCATGGGTTTCAATGCGAAGTCATGGTCATCCATGACTAGATGTGGGGGTACCCCTATGACTTAGGAAACCTCCATAGGGTCCTAGGCCTCCACAACTCCACTTGGCCCAGCCGATGCGACGGCAGCATCTGGCGCAGCAAGCTGCAAGCCCTGCTCAGGCTCCGCCTCGGCGCCTTCCGAGAAATATGACTGGGGAATGGTAACTTCAGCAGCAAAGATAGGATTGAACTGATTTAACAAAAGAAAATGGTGAGATATCATGATTTATCAGCTATCAATGGATTGGGCTCAAGATGTTCAAGGGAAACCAATGAGAAACACTAGTTTTTTTGTCCAAGTAGGGGTGTCCTGCAAAATGGCCTGAACCAAGCTTGGCATATCTCGGGAAACCATGACTCGATATCGGTGACATGGACATGTTCCGAGTGACAAAAGCGCCTGGGAATTTTCCATAAAAGTCAATTCGAAGCATCATCCAAGGTCGGGTAATGCAAAAACAAACGTCTAGATTCTAGATAAATCGTACAGTAGTAAGTAACCAACCTGAAACAATGTCATTTTGGGATAGTTACACCAAAAATAACCACCGACACCGCCAAAAGAAATATCCTTGGTTGATACTGTTTGTTGCTTAAACTGAAGGGAAACAACAACAACAACAACAACAACAACAACAACAACAACAACAACAACTCAACAACTCAAACAGTTTTTCGATGGAAGTGGTGATCTCTCCAAAGCCTTGATTTATTTGGAACCTTGGTGCACCAAACTGCGGAACCGCAGCCTGTTTCCTGCTCTTCTTCTGGCTGTTCCTGCTCCTCTGCAACCTCTTCCGCCCCTCGGCTGATCAAATTCTCATGCCGATGTGGGTACAGTACACACTAATTAGGTGGGCACGCCATGTGTGGCCTCATGTTTTCATTGGAGGATCTATCGCCTGATTATCCCATTGTATCCCTGGGATCCAGCTCCATCTGCCTCGCCTGCATCCACCTCCGCTGCCTCCGCTGCCTCCGTTGCCTCGTTGCGTACGGAGATCCAGCTGCGAAGCACTGCGGCGGGGTTCCAGCGTTCGTCGGCCGGGTCGGCCGCGTCCACTTGGATATTTCCTAAGGATCGTCCAAAGATCATGAGAGGAAGAGATTCTAAACACCTGATATGATTTGATAGGATAATTATCTAATGATAATAGTAATATTTTGACTAAGATCTGGTATGATTTGATCGAGATAGTGATAAGATAATGATATAGTGCCACAACCCCTAGCGCTCCATGTGAGCAAATGTTATCAACATGGGGTATGTGGCCTCTGAGGGCCTACGTATGGTATGTTGATCTGAGGGGCCTACGTTGATGAAAAATCGGAAATCGGATTGGAATCGGGCCATATGAGGCTTGACTTTCAGTTTTTTAAGTTGATTTCCCCCATGTGATGGGGTTTGACTGCCATATAGTGTAGAAATCCACAAAAGTGCAAGGCCACCAAAAAGCTTCAATAAAGGATTTGGCCTTGAAGCCGTTTCCGTGCTCAAACTACATGGATGCTGAGATCTTCAAATTTCAGTTCTGTTCTCAGATCAAGCAGCAGCAAGTGCAAAAGCATGCGTGCATGTGCAGAAACGTATTCAGTGCACTGGTCTCCCAGGCCAATGGACTGGGAAGCGCAAGGCGGAATCTGCAGCTAGTGGGTCAACAGGTGCCCCCCTCTCCTTTTGCTATGCCGTACCTTCTCGTGAGTCCTGTGTGCTTGTGCCATTTATCAATTGCTGTTGTGTGCTTTTTATCTTGTGCATGCGGTTGGTGTGTGCATAGGCAGTTTTGGTCCTCTATAGATAGTAGCCCGGCCGGTCCCATGGCTACTGGTGATGTGGAGCTTGCTCTTCTCAAAGAGGTGTTGGTTGAGTGGGTGAAGGATGATGAAAATTTCATCCACAACTTGAGGGCGGCAAAGCCTGACCACCCTTTCTTAGAGGATTTCCCAGGTGAGGGCCCTTCTTCTGCTGATGCGGTCGACAAATATGCAAACTTTCTCGCGCCCTTTCTTGCCCAATTTGCTTCGTCCGGCATCCCGGCGTTTGGAAAGTTTAAGGCCGGTCTCAATGTTTGGTGTTTTTGGGTTTGGTGTGAGGTGTATGTGTTTATCTGTTTTTGCGCGCGTGCGTGCGTGCTACTCCCTTTTTTTCCGCCGTGCTCCAGGCTGCCATGATCTATTTGTGCAAGACCCATGGAATTTTTCCACAGGAGACGCGCATGAAAGTTATCAAGGTGGGGCTGGCAGCCACTTGCCACCATATTCCTGACATCTTGTGACTATATCCCCCTTCCACATGCAATCTTTGTCATGTTGCAGGACTGGTCTGGACATTGGGGCGGACGAATCCGTGCCATGTGTCAGCACGCCATGCACTTGACCTGGCGATCCAAAGGAAGCAGGAGCTCAGCAGTATGTTTTTCCTCAACAAGAAAATGTGTGTGTGTGTGTGGGTGTGGGTGGGTGTTTGTGTGTGTGTGCGCGCGCACGTGCGCTTTCAAGATGCCAGTTTTTTTTCATTCATATACGTTATAACTCATCAAGTCTTATTTGATGGATACAACATATATCTAGGGTGTGGTTCCCATTTGGATATCCAACATATATGATATATATATATAGATATAATATGTAATATATATATATATACGCACGGACAGATACTGAAATTTTATATGCCAGATCTAGATAGTGTCGAACCCCTTTCTGACACGCTCACTCGAGGAGCCCTAACGTGGAGATGTTGAAGCAGCTGGTGCATGAGCTCACCAAAGGCCAGGTCAACAATCAATTTAATTTCACCTGTTTATCCTCCCAAGCAATGTTGTGGGTCCCAGGCCAACCAGATGTGCCTGCCCGCTATGCCAGTCCTAGCCCCGACTATGCTGGGAGCATTTCTTCAAGATCCTCGAGTGAACTGGACCGAAACGATTTTGGTCTTGTGAAACTGTTTCACCATAAACGCATCAATACAACATGATACAACCATTTTTAAACAAATGTCAGCCATGTATTACTTGAAAAAATTGGGGCACCCCAACTAGCATTGTCAAACATCCACGTTCGCCCTTGGTGGAGGAAGCTGACGAACCCGCTTCTGGGGAAGCACCACGGGCCTTGCTGACCCGGAAGGAAATGGAGGAGCAGCTGCCCTCCAAATTGCAACTTTTGTCCACCATCATGACATGTGCGCATCAGGAGCGTGAAAATTCGCAGTTTCCTATCGACTACGATTGGGGGAGCGAAGCTTCAGACAAGGACCTCAGCTTCGCAAGAAGCATGTGGAGGGTCCAGCCCATATCTCTATTTAAGTGTTGAACATGTGCAGTACATGGGCATGTCTCAAAATGAGGTGCCCCTCATTTTGAGACATGCCCACATGTCTTCATATCTCTTATTGTTTCCGAACAAAAACGTCCACCACTGCCAATCAACATCTCTTCCAGTTAAAGATTTGGCTAATGGCTATATATAACATACATATCTCTACAAAAAATGCATATCTATATTATAAAGACATATACGGGTTTGACATATGTCTGCATATGTCTATTTACCCTGCACTTGATGCTTGGCGCTGGAAGGACGACAAAAAGAACATGGATGAGCTCGAGGTGCGCAATCTAGCTGCACTGTGGCCACTGTGGCTTTTGCTGAGCCCCCTTCCAAAAACAGGACTTGCACACACACACACAATTTTTGGGAATACAACTTCAATAAGTGAACTGGTATGTGTCAGCAAGATTCAGTGCTTCTCAGCGAATTTGGAGGCAGACACTTCAGCGCTGGCCATGTCAGATGAACTCGGCCCCAAGATGTCAGAGGCCAGACACCAATGTAACTTACTTGAACACATATCATGTATTCACAACATGCTGCTAGATGTTGGAACTGTCAAACAAGAATTTTCCTTTCCCTAGGGTTCCAAATGAAATACTGGTTCCAAACCCTTTGTTTGACACCCTTGTCTCGGAACCCACAGTTCTTGTTTCACATCTATTTCATTCAGCATGGCCATTGCTGCACAGCCGGAGGCCGATCAGGTTACGCAATCAGTGCCTGCAGCAGAGGCAAACAGCAGTTTCTGAATTGGAAAAGATCTATATAGTTATAACTAAATAAAAAATATATATATATATATATTTATTTATATAATTATAGATTGGGACCACTTCCTATCAATGGAGATGAGCTGGAAGATTCACAGGCTTGCCTCATTTCTGTCTAGTGGCTTTATATTGGGGGAAATATGCTCCTTATTTTCCTTTCCTAAAGGGTTTGTTCCAAATGGCATCTCCAAACCATGGGGTAATAAAACATCTATAAACCATTGGTCTTTGGTGGTGCCAACTCTGTGAACAAACTTTTTACATAGTGTTCCGTTCCACCGTTCTAAAATGGAAACTTGCGTCTTGCCAGGTGGCTTCTGGCGCTTCCCAGCCTGATGCCTCAATCTCAGCGAAACAAGAAATCTAGCTATTTGTTGGAGTGCCTAATATAGATATATTTATATTTATTCAAGAACTTAAAATGGAAAGTATGTAGGGCATGTGCAACAAGATCCGTTATTTCTCAAACATCGCCGCAGCGCTATTCATTCAGTTCTTTTTTGAAAAATCTGACATGGCCTCATGGAATGTTGAATGAGGCTCACCCAGACCGGCAAGCTTTCAAGGCGCATTTGGTTTGGAATGGCCGAGCTCCATTTCAGCCATGCTACCCTTAAGCACTTCAAATATGGGTTTGCACAAATAAGGTTTATCAAACATGTAGTACATGGGGGAAATCAGGGAATCATTTGGAAGGAAGCTCGTGGCCCCCTACTGGCGATTCCGAATCGGATCGATGGGTCTCTGGCTGAGCAAGTGGCGGCTATGCAAGCTGCCGCCCCCAAAGAAGATGATTTGGCATCTGCCCAGGCTAAAGTGTCTAGGCTGATTTTTTCCAATGGTGCCAACAGTTTATGATTTGAAGCTTCAACCATCAATCCCCATGAATTCATCCAAGACTAAGGTGCTCAGCGCGGCCAAGAAACGGTCGGCGCCCAAACCGGAAGAAGCTGTTGAAATGAAAAAAATCAAAGTACCAAAGGCAAAGGCTGGGAAGGCGAAAGCAAAAAGTAAGTCAAAGAATGGGAAAAAAGAGAACGCACATGATGAGGAGACTGCTGAAGGACCCGCGCAGGAAGCAGTTGAACCCACCCCAGCGGTGCCTGCAAAGCCATCTGCTGCCAAGCTTTCTGCAGTTGACCTTTGGAAAACGAAGGAGCCCAGGGATATCGCTGGTTGATAAGTTCGCACAAGTATTTGGTTTAATTTTCGGGGTTCCTTGCCGATGCTCCAATCAAAACATAGACGACTATGTAATTTATAATACTGCAGGCTTATGTTTCTTGTTGCTCTTTTGTGGGGTGTGTGTGTGTGTGTGTGTTTGTGTGTGCAACTTATTTCCTGGTAGGAGACCGAACTGCGGGATGCAGGAATCCCGATTCCAGATGCTTTTTCTGGCCAGGCCAGGATGCAAAATAATTTATATATATATATATACACCTATACATATAATATAAATATATAAATATATATATGCGTTTTTGGTCCCAAAAAGGTTGCTTACAGGCACACCAGGCCACCTCAGTTTGAGACATCCCATATATATATATATATATATATATATATGCAAATGGAAACATGCATATCCCACATATATATATATATATATACACACTGTATATTTATATATATATTATATGTATATATATATATATGCTTATTACAGAGTTCCAATCTATGCCACGGTCGCAAGGCCAAATCATATACTTTGAAGCCCATCAATGCGGAGACCCAAGGTACAATCGGAATTCTGCCCGGGCCTCAAATCGTAATGCAAGATTGGCTTGAAATTTGATCTTTACAGCAATCTTATTATGAGAAGTGTCTCATCCTCAATTAGCCTGATTTCCCTTAGGTCTTATTGGTTTACTCCTCGATTTTGAATTGACCCCCATTGCTTTTGTTGGTGTTTACTTCTTTGGAACCTTGCCCTGCACCTACCGGCTCAGGTTCGAAGTGGAGCAAATCTACGTGAAGGTTCCGTGCGACAAGGATGGAGTGCCGATGTGTGGTGAGGCATTCATGGAGAGTCACAAGATCAAGCGGAATAAGGCCAATTCTTCTACCATGTCCGTTAAGAAGCACAATGGATGGCAAGCATGTTTTTCAATTGCCAAAAAAGTGGCAATGTGGGAGTAGATTTGTAGCGTAGGGTGTAGGCTGTATGGTCAAAGCAATGTGTTCGCCGTGGCCTGCCTTTAGCCAGCCAGTGCACGATGTGGGTATCCTGCGGAAAATCACCATTTCTTCGTAGGTCAAATTGGCACAGTACATTTACATATATATATATTTATTTATTTATTTGTATTTTGTTTTAGGCAAGTATGCCCAGCTATCTACTGGCTGAGGGGCTGCCTCAACACATCAGCGTGTGATTGCGATTTCCTTGCTGGGGCACAATGGAAAAAGTGTTGATTTGTTGTGACGGTACCCGGCCCTGCGCATGCTGGAAGGGACGTTTTTAGTCTGCAGGACCGACCAAGCCATGTGACAGTTGAAAGGTGAAGCATTTTTTTGCCTATCAGCTGGGTGCATCTAGTAAGCCAGCCATGGCCCGGGGATTGAAACTTTCGAGACGGGAAGCCATGTTGTTGCTTATCATGGGACTTCCACCGCTGGTGTGCCTAGACTGAAGTGGTACCCCCAATGTGTTTTTGAACGGGTCCACCAATTGTTTGATCGGGGGGTTCCCCTGATGGAATGTTTGAAGACTACTTTGGGCTAAGAGGGCGCCCCCAGTAACATGTGGGAATGCTGTAAAATATACGTGCCCCAAGCTTTCTCATTTTAATTTACAAAAAGTGTTGTGGGCACCCATGGTCACCCTTATTTTGAGACATCCCCATATAGATAGATTTACATGTATCATCATGTATCAACATATCCCAGATGCTCCATGTATAGAATATTTACCTACATTTGGGTGATTTTTGGGGTAAATGTAGGTAAATATTCCATACATGGAGCATATGGGTATAACGAAATCTACTATCACACGCGACTTTTTTCGTAAATGGGGTTTAATCCAACCTTTTTCGTAAATGCCTAGCGCAGCGGCCCAGGATCCACATGGCAGATTTTGTCTGTCAATGTGAAGCCATTAGTGATCTTGCCCCTTCAGCTTGGGAGAGGAATATAGACGTTCTAGAGCTCTTCAGTGGAAAAGCTGAACTGACATCAGCATTTCGCCGCTTGGGTTAAAGTGGCTATATTTGAAACGCAAAATCAAATAAACATGTTCGTTGCGGTTTGATTATTTCCCAGCCACCGCATTCCGATCCCATTCCATCCTTTTGCAAGGTCGGTCTGGGTATCGAGCCCAATGGTTTGATTGGGAGCACAGGCAGAGCTACCTGGCAGAGTTGGGTTGGCTGTCATGACATATATATATCTATGTATATATATATATATATATCTAGAAATATACATATACGTGTTCAATGCGAGGCTTGGCTAAAAGAGACATAGGTATATATGATATAGATAAAGAGCGTAGTCATAAACAAGCTCCGAGTTCTTTTTATATATCCAATGTTTTGAGAAAAGGAAGATAGGTAAATATACAATTCCTTTCAAACCTTTGTCATCAGCTCCAACCCACACAAAGAACATGAAATAAAAGATGCTCCCGGACATGTCGCAGTTGGAGGGTGTTCAACACAACCTTTTTGGGTATTTTTGGCTTTTTGCAAGTCAAGCCAGCGGGAAATCTCAACCCACATTGTTCGATTTCCTTGCTATGCCTCAATATCTCAATCATGTCAGGCCCGATGACACGAACAACCTGTTGACCACGGCTGGTATGCTGCGGGGAGTCAAGGAGGTTTTGCGGCTCACCCCCGGGGGGCTTTTATTTGCCGGGGTGCCGTGCGCACCGTGGCTGAGGCTGAATGTATACTTATACTTTGGTATATTTAGTGTCACTTATGAGCCAATGTTATTTCAACCTTGCTTACCAGCTTGGCTGGCTAAGGTGGATTTGGATATCATGCCCCACCCACATGCGCCATGTGGCGATCCTTGGTGATTCCCGTGACTTCGTTTGAATTCATATGTGGTTTTCGATGGTAACAGCTGACTGTACATGCCTGCATGTCGAGTGATTTCAGGTGTCCCTCTGGTACAATGTGGAAATATTCTGGGAGCAAGATTCTGCATATTGGCAGCCCTGTCGCTTGTGCTAGGGTCCCCCTGGCTGGATACTTGTTGGAAGAAGACCTTTAACCGAGTAACATTGGTTCTTGGGTGCAAACCAAACCATATTTCAGATTTGGTGTTTGCCCGTTTGGGGAAATGAGGTGGAGCAGCCACAAACAAGCCGCTTCATCAATTACCCTTACTTGGAGTGGCTGCAGCGGATGACAGATTTTTTCTTCAAAAGGTTGCAGGGGGTCCCAGCATGTGTTTCACATGATACGAATGTGTTGGTCTTGTTGGCCTGTTTCCCAACCGAGTCCCATGGCCAACTTCAACCATTTCTCTTTGAAGCCAACATATCTATGTGGTTCAGCGCCCGGGGCCTACCTGATCTGGTGGACATTTGTCCCTAGCAACCATCCTGTGTGTGAACATCCCTTACAGTTTCATGGTTTCCACACGAGATTTCACATGTTTCAACTATATGCGTATGTTAGTGTATACATACACATGTATGTATATGTATATGTATAGGTATGCCAAAACAACATCATGCATTTTTACATGTGAATAAACACATATAAATGTATATCATATGTCAGTGTTTTGAGTTGTCTCTGAAACTTAACTCAATATGTGCGGTGCACCCATACATGTCAACGTACACGAATGCACATGCGTGCACGCTTACACACACACATATGCCCATATGTTATATATATATATAGTTAGATATTCACAGTAAATACATACAAGGGTGTACAATGCAGATGAAGAGCACACCTATGATGATGACAGTGGGCTGGCCATTGTGATGATTGTGTCGGTGGGGATGATGATGATGATGATGATGATGATGATGATGATGATGATGATGATGGTGAAGATGGTCATGATCATGATGATGATGATGATGATGACAATGATGATGATAATGATGATGATGGTGATGGTGATGATGATGATAATGATGATAAGGTCGTGCTTTTACCATTTGATACGGTGCGTTCTGATATGACATGGTTTGATGTAATGGTGATAGTGATGATGACACTCACGGTGATAGTGGCTACAGCGATCATTCAGAGGATATGGCATGCTGGCAAACTGTTAAAGATGTTGATGAGGCTGGTGATGTTGATGGTGATGATGATGATGATGACGACGATGGTGGTCCGGCGGCGGTGGTGATGATGGTGATGATGGTGAAGTAGAAGATCACGATGATGACACACCCTGTGTGCATAGAAAACGCACGTTTCTTAAGAACATGTACTTACATGTTCCAATTATGCACTTGTAAATGCAAATACACATATGCGTATACACACACACACACTCAGTAGCAGCAGCGCCCCAGGAGATGGATTCTCAATGTCGTGGGAAAGTTGGAGCAGCACCAGAAGGAGCGGCTTCAGGCATCCAAAGGGCAACATGAAATGGTGAAACGCACCATTGGTAAGGATGGCAAGCGGTGCACGTGGGGGTCTCAATTTTTAAAATGTGTTTCTGAGTTGCGGTTCCTGCTTCCTGCGGAAAATAACCGGTCAATTCTTTGAAAAGATGGTTCCAATATCCCTTTTTTGGCCCCAATCACCCAATAGCGTCCCAAAAGCGGCCTCTGTCCGTGGCCAAGGTCAGGAGGCCGATCGATGAAGGATAGCGCAGCTTATCCTCGAGCGTTTGGAGAATTTGTCGTTTCTCAATATGAGGCGGGCTGACGCGTGTAATGGGCTGAAAACCACCCAATTTTGTAACTGGGACCCAAGTCTTCCAGATCAGTTTCATGTTTGGAGCTTCAGCATGTTAAATGTACAGCAGGGTTCTGGAAGAAGAATGCTGGTAGTTAAACTTGAACACAAAGGGGTAAAATCACGGAGGTAGTTACATTCCCACTCTTCCTAATATAGTATATCTGCTAAAAGCTCAAAACTTAAACAAGTAATTGGGGGTGTTAATTTGGAAGGGAAAGAGATATTCCTCTAAGCAGCGAGCCCAATGCCACTGAGGCCGACCAGAGTCCTGTCGAGCTCCAGGTGTCTTTGCCAGAAGGCATTGAAAACCTCGGGTTGCACAGTATTCAGCGTGCTCCATTTGACTGGGCGCATGCCAACTTACAGCCCATACGGGCGTATCTCCTAAAAGCCCAAGAAGAGGGCAAGTTCGTGCCACAATTTTCTTTGCCCTTGTGAAGCAACTAAGGGAGAAAGGGTGCTAATAGCACATTGGGAACATACGGTGGTTTGTCTCATTTTGTTTCCATGCATTTGCAACGTAACTAGTTATGATTTTAAATATCACCCCCGAAAACTGCAAAAAACATGTTGTTTCCAGCCGGGTGAAGCAATTAATTGCTTGGAAAATGATGAAAAATAGAATTTCTTTCCTGTTGTCCAATCACCACAGGAATCGGATAGCAAATTGTGGCCAAAAAAAGCCGCTAGGCAAGCGTTACGGGACCGTTACGGGACCGTTACGGGACCGTTACGGGAAAATCGGAAGATTGACCATTTTTAATTACATTCAATACATAACTCACCAAAAATCGGAAACCCTACCGTTACGGGACCGTTACGGGACTGTTACGGCCCCGTGGCAGTCTCAAGTTGCTGTTCAGGAAGCCCAGGACACGCATGGAGTCGTCCCATTTAGATCCAAATCCACCAAAACATGTACAATTTTCGATCTTAAAATTTCCTCTATAATGGAGGCAGCAAGTTAATGATTGACATTTTTTTTGGATTTAGATCTGCGCTGTAGTTACAACGCAGCCATTTTACCAGTGAATCTAGAGCCAGGGTTGGCTACATACGGGGGTCCCTCTCTCCCGTATATCAATGGACTCCGGTACGGAGAAGCTGCAGGACAGAGTGCGGAAATTTGTTTTACTTGATATCTAGCAACCCCCTCTCCACATGCACGGTCCCAGTGGAGGATCACTCTGTGGCCATCCAAGCGGCCTTGAAAAAGGCAGCAGCTTTGCATGCGCGAGTTGAGGGAAATCACGGTCCTGAGAGCACAGCTGGTGCTTCAAAACGTAAGAAGGAGAAGACCCAGGCACTGGGATCTAGTGGAGTGAGAAGCCTTTATAGAGTTGTACGTCCACCTTGTTTTGTCGAAATTTACCGTGTTGATGGCATTTAGATTCAGATGATGCGTCCCAAAAGTAATCATCTTGAGCGCTGTGGTGCCCACATTATGCCAAGGAAAATCACAACTAACTAGTTGGCATGGCATTATTATTTTGGCAGGTACTGCCTCCTTCACAGAAAGTGACTCCAGAGCCGAAGATTGCCCGCAGCAGTAGCACTTCGAACTTGAGTGATTCTACTGCTGCATCTTCAGCTGCAAAGGGAATGGTGGTTCCAAAGAATCTAGCCCAACAGTTTGACTCTGCGGATGCAGCCCCACACCCAGCTGCTTCTGGCCCAGAAGGCTGGGAAAACCTTTCCCACCACTTTTAGATCCCCAATATTTCTTTAAGTCTTAAAGCACCTGGCCCCCAAAATAGGCATCAAGAAGACAATGTCTACATCGACGACTTGCCCGGATTTGCAAGACACAATTCCAATGGATGATCCTTGACATTTTTTATTTGCACGCAACTTCATTGCAAGTCATTGCCTGTGGGCATCTTTTTGCCCAAGAGGTGCCTGTTTTCTTGAAATCGGGAACCGTTCAGTAATATATATATATAAATGACATTCTTGATTAATCACAACCCGTAGTCCGTACTTCTGTTTGATTCTCGAAGTTTTTCAAATAATTTGCACGCACTTGTAGGTGCAATATGTTGCAACACCAATACAGACTTGTCACTGTTAATATTAATTTGCTATGGGCCCAGATTTTGTCGGGGGTAAAAAGACCCTATATGTAGCTCGTTGGCACCCCCAGTCTGCTGAGGAGCCGGGCCCCTTCCTAGATCCTGCTCTTCCGACCTTGGTGGCTCCAACGAGTGTGGCGCCCCCTAGAGAACGCGAGCTGATTGGCTCTGGTGTGAGGTGTTGTTTATATTCACTGCTTTTCTCTATCTGGTGATGGCTTAAGGTCGCGTGTTTCCAGAACATGGATCCCTCGCAGTTAGCACTGATCAAGCAGCTGATCGCTGATGCAGAGGCAAAGCAAACACATGAAAGCAAACCGCGTGATGCTGAACCCGGATCTGTTGCCAAGACAGAAACTGATGAGATGTCTAGTGACCCAACCACAAGTGGTGCAAATGGGGTAGGGGATGTTGCCACGTGTGAGCACACAACGGGTAGAGATGCCGCAGCTGAACCAACAGCGACTCCCAGCACGACCTCCCCAGTTGAACCTGTAGGTCCCAGCAATGCAGCCGACAGTGCCCATGGCCCTGCAGCAAAAAGCAAAGTGGCAACCACCTTGGCCCCAGCCCCAATTGCTACACCTTGTCGTTCCAACCTTATTGCCCCTGCTGTGCTGGACGGAGCTGCTGAAGAGTTGCCCGTCTCAGAGCCTACTGCCAAACTCAAGGAATTCTGGTCGAAGTTCAAGACCCCCAGGTCTGCTCCTCACCTTCCTTCAGAGTCTGCAGCTTCGACACCTGGTGGCACCCCAGCCCTCCCAGCACCAGCCCCGCCCAATTCCGATGAGCCCATGCCACCAGCAACACCCCCGACTACAGCACCAGCTCCCATGGATGCGGATGAGTTTCAAGCCCAGATCAAGGCAGCCGCAAAGCACCACTATGAAACCAAATTCATGAAAATGGACGCGGATGAATTTCAAGCCCAAATCGAGGCAGCTGCAAAGCACCACTACTTCCCAGAGTACTTTGCCCAAGCCACGAAGGGAGCTGATGATGTGGAGGATATGGTGAATTGGATGACATGGTTGGAAAGCAAACTTCAAGCTGAAAACCAAAAACTGTTGCACAAGCCGACCCTCATCCTTGGCTACAGCGACCCCAATGTTGATCTTGTTGATGCCCATGCCCGACCAACCGCAAGGAAGGGACCTGCAAGTGAAGAAAAGCCTGCACAGCACACCCTGCCCCCTGTGCCCACAACGACCGTGGATGATGTACAAGCAGCTCTGTTGCGAGCAACAACCATGGACCTTGAACAGCAGCGAGCTCCCCCAGCCCCAGCAGAACCAGAACCGCGGCCTCCCCACACAACTGCTGCGAAGGACGAAAGCCAGGCAAAAGAGGAGCAAGCCAAGCAGGAGGAGCCCAGTGGCAGCGCACCAGAGAACAAGGAAGCCGAAGCAACCGCAGCAGCAGCAGAAGCGAAAGCAGCAGCCCAAAGGAAAGTTCGCGCCATTAAGGGAAAGTTTCACCGGTCAATCAGAAGCTCCTAGGCTAGTTAGCAGCACATGGACATTTGATTTTTGATAAGTAACAGCACTGGATCAGCATATTGCTCCCGAAACTCCAAGGTAAATATGCACCAGCAGAAGTGGTTGCCAAGCACAAGGAAGCATCAGCCAGCCCAAACCCTAGCTAGTTTTCTTAACCAACATGTTGTTATCCCTTTGATCTGCGTAGTTGTTCTTAGGTCGCGATAAGTATGCTTTCGACCAGCTGTTTGAAGAATGGCTCCAAGCTGACCAAGACTGGCTGAAATCCAGCATTGTGCTGCAATCCCGTACTGAGAGGGAAAATTCCGTGAATGGCCAGTGGAAGCTGATGTCCAAAGCAGTGGCCCATATGCAAATTCAAGTTAAAGCAGGTGGTGTCCCGGTCATGTGAATCAGGTTCCAAAATGTTCCAAACCATCCAGTGCCATGGATAAGGAGCTGGATGCGAAGTATTGCAATCCAGACCTAGTCGATGATTTGATCGCCCGGAAAGTGGGGGTGCCCCAGGTGGAAGAAAGGCTTTTCCCTTTTTTTTTATTTATACAATCATCCAAGTCTTCACCAAGGTTCAGGAGAACATGACCGCTGAGAATCCGGACTTCCCTGGCAATAAGGCAACAGAATCGTTCGGCCTCATTGCTGGGACATGTTGGTACCAGCCTGTGGGGACCCACCTTTAAAATCTATACGGTCGTATGTATAAAATGATGTGCTAAATCCATTTTTGAATCATAGTGACTTGAAACCCTAGTTCTAAAAAAACAAAAGACAAGAGTTTTGGATAAAACCATTATAGTATATTCGCTGGTGGCCATTTCCAAAATTTCAACTAGACATCCTTATCATATTGTAAGTAATTCCACATGCCCAATGTATAACCTAGGGTGGTTTTCACCTAGGGTGGTTTTCAGGGTATATGCTGATCATATTCCATTATATACATGGGACATATATGGGTATCTAGGTAGAATGTTTACCCTGGATAAAAAATGCAAATTAATTGTGATGGCATTCTCCCAATTAATAGCTATATTAGCTATACATATATATATATATATAAATTACTGGCATGCCCCCATTAAACAGACTACGGGTTTATGAATTCAGGATTGGCACATGAAATATAATTCACCCATCAAAGGACCCAAGTATCAGCAAACAAAATTATACAATATATATATATATATACATATATATATATATATATAGATGGATATAGAAATAGATATAGATATAGATGTAGA